TGGTCATTTCCAAAATGTCTATTTCCAGCCCCAAACTCTCCCCTGAATACAGACTGCCCACCTACTGTCCCCTCGGATGTCTCGAAAGCTCAGAGCTCATGGTTCTCCCCTTCACCCCCTGCCTAACTGGCACCCCTGGGGTGCCCATGACAGTAAATAATGCCATCTTTGACCTATTTGTTCAGGCTCAGAAATCGTGGAGTCGTCCCTGACTCCTCTCCCAGCCCATGTCCCTAAGTCCCCTTGGTTGCTTTTGATGTACCTGCCTCCCTGCCGCTTGTTCCAGGCCACCGCCGTCTCTCCTGGACCGCAGACACCCCTCCTCACTGGCTTCTTAGTTTCGACTTCTGCCTCACCATCGTCCAGTCTTTATTCAGCTGCCATAGCGTTCGGTAGATCGAATCAGGCCTAGTCACAGTTGTCGAATAGCGTCCTCTCACGTTGGGGGGTCAGGCCGCGGTCCTTACCAGGGCCAGTGGCACCCTATCCTCTGGCTCCCGAGCAGGCTTTTGAGCTTTTCCTTCAAGTGTTCCTGGAATATACCAAGTCTCCTCCTGCCTCGGGGCCTTTGCACTCACTGTTCAGTTCCTCAGCTAGTACGGTGTGCCTCCCGAGAGCCCGTGGTCGGTGGCCGTGTCCAAAGGCGGCGTCTGTCGTTCGCTGGCTGTGTGCCTTGGAGAGTTGCTCAGCCCTCCGCCTCTTAAAATCTGATTTCTCATTAGAGAAGTGGAGCCAGCGTTTGGGTCGATGTGCCTTCCTGGCAGGAAGCACTGAGACCCTAAGTGCCCACGAACCCCGGGCTGCTCTTCTGTGTGTGTTTGTGCCCTGACTCCTTCCGGCTCTTGTTTGCCTGTCACTCAGAGGGGCCTCTCCGACGCCGGGGGCTGAGGTAGCTCTCCCGCCACTGTCCCCTCACAGGCCCCTCAGCCCAGCCTTTTCTTTTCCTTTCTTTTAGCGTTGCATTTGTTTGCTGCTTTTTGATGATCTTTTCCCTCATTAGGAGGGAAGCTCCTGTCAGATGCTGTTTCTCCAGAGCCCAGAGGGTGCCTGGCCTATAGCTGAAGCTCATTTTTGAGCTGATTTTTGTTGAATGAGTGGTTAAAGGCACATGTTGGTTGTGGGCTCAGCCTCTTACTGGACAGGGGTGTGCTTCTCGAAGAGCTCAGAGAGCGTAACGAGGGCTGACTCCCCATGCCCACCCAGCTCAGGGTAGAGGCTCTAGCGAGTCAGTTGCTTAGCCAGGTTGGGTGACTCTGTCTCTGGAAGTCAGGAGCCGTCGAGGGCAGGAGGCAGCAGATCCTGGAGGGCCGGTGGAGGGGGCGGGAGCCTTTCCGCAGTGAGGGCTTTGCCTCGACTGCCGCTGTCGTGGTTCGAGCAAAGCAGAGGCTGTGGGACCCCGTTATGGTTGCCCACTGAGGGTCTGCTGGACGTTGACTGTGGGACCCTGTTATGGTTGCCCGCTGACAGTCTGCTAGACGTGGACTGTTTGGTTTCCGTTGCTTATCTGGAAAGGAAGGTGGTGAGGCACAGTGCCGGCAAGCAGGAGTGGGTTTGGGCATGATATTGAGTCCTTGGCCAAAGTAAAGGCCCCAGAGTGGGGAATGTGGGAGACAAAGATGGGAAAGGTCATTTGGGGGTCAGACTCCACAGGGCCTCGAATGCCAGTCCAGGCGCTGGAGAATTCCTCCTGTAGGTATTCTGGGAAGCGTCAAAAGTTTCAGAAGTGTTCCCCACACATATTTAGACTTTTCCCGAGTATTCTAAATATCATGAAATAAGTGGCAGAGAGGAAAATGACTATTGTTCACTTAAAAAAAATAGTTTGTCTCATTTCCCAGTGGAATTATATAATTAGGGGTGTAGGCTTTCTTCCTTTCATGTCCTGTGGGCTAGATTTTATTCCCAGACCAATCTGACTTTGAAGAACAACAAATGAACAGCTTCTTGAGAAGGCCGGGTGCTGGTTTAGCAGTGAGGGGCCTGCTGTGATGGCCCTCTCTATAGTGACCCAGCAGGCCTCACTGAGGTCCTCAGCACCCACATGGCCGTCTCGTGAGGATGCCTTGGAACCAGAGGCTCTGATCCCCTGTATTTTGCAGGTTAGGTTAGACCCGAAGAAAGATGGTGCGGCTGACTTTACAGTTCATTTCTGTGGAGGGTCTCTTCTAGGCCTGCCCGAACAGAAACAAAGCAGCCTTGTTTCGGTACAGTATCAGTATTCAGTGAGGTTTAGTACTTCGTTGTTGTTGACACACCCCTGCCAGAAATAAGGCAGTGGCTAGATGTGGAAAAACACCAGACCGGGAGGCTGTGATTTGGGCTCTCTGCCTGTCTGTGAAACTTTGGGGAAATGTCTCCCTCTGTGGGTCTCAGTTTCCTCATTTTGGAATGTGAGGGTTGGACTGACTTTGTGCTTCTTAACCTTTGGAACTCTTTCTGTTTTTGTTTTTGAGAGACAGAGATCATGAGCGGGGGCGGGGCGGGGGGGGCAGGGCAGAGGGAGAGGAAGAGAGAATCCCAAGCAGACTCCCGCTGAGCATAGAGCCCGAAGCAGGGCTCCATCTCAAGACCCTGAGATCACGACCTGAGCCAAAACCAAGAGTCTCACACCTAACCGGCTCTACCACCCAGGCGCCCCTTAACCTTCGGGACTCTTTGAGACTTTGATGAAATCCATGGACTTTTCTTCCCCCAGATTGAACACTCATGGTTTGGCCAACACTTTAGGAACCCCCTGAAGCTCAGGAGATGACCTATAAGGCCCTGCCCCAGCTCTGCCTCCCCACATTCATGTACCTCCACCTACAGCAGGGCCTTTGCACATGCTGCCCTGCACAAAACACTCTTCACCCCTTTGCTTGGTCAACTCCTGCTCATCCTCTGAGTCTCACCCTTCCCTGACCTCCCAGATTAGGTTAGGTTGCCCGGCTAGACATGTTTCTCTTACCCTGAACTTCTCAGCACGGATCACAGTGGTAACTAAGTGAGCCCTAGCACATGACATCTGGCTCTCCCTGCGCTCGGTGTTGGTATTTGCTGGGTAACTCCCTGAGGTCCCTCCGGCCGTGACATTCTGTGACCGATCTCTGAATATGTGAGTGTGTCGTAAGAAAATACCAGTCGGTGCTTCCTGTGACACATAGCACAAGATGTGCTTTTGCCTTGGATGAGTTCCTCCGGGGCTGAGCAGGGAAGTCACTTCAAAGTGGGGCCTAGAGAGCTCAGAAGACTGGCTCCCAGACTTTCTGCCTTAGTGCTCTGTTGGGCCTGACCTCCAGGCTGGTCATTCCTCTTTGTTTATGTCCTAGACTGAGCTGGAACTCCCACTTGGAGCCTTCCCACAGTGCTTGGCGCTTCCTCATATTGTTGTATTTTTCTCCAGAGGGGAAGTGACCAACATCAGACTTTCCTCCTAGCACACAAAGTCCATGTACAAAGCCTCGTGTCAGCTGTTGGGCACCTGTCTCTGTCTCCTTGCCTCCGGGGGAGGTGAATGTGCACAGTACAGCAATCACTTGCTTTTCCCATGATTTCTCTCTTAATTTCCCTCAAGAAGTGATCGGTGCCCTGCTGGATTCCCTGACTCACGTTCCTTCTGAATCCAGTAGTGTCTTGTATGGAGGGGAGGGTTCTCCGTAAAATGTCTCTTTCAAAACTTCGGTCGTCACAGTATTACAATACTCCCTGGTTTAGGTCACTTTCCACAATCGAAATGTGATTCTGATGGTACAAATGTTGTAAATGAAGCTTTATTTGCACTAAAGGAATGAGTTGTTTACCAGAATATTGCAGCAGATCTTACTGTGATATGGGGGGAAAAAAATCCCTTGTGAGGGTAAATAATTTTTCTTTAACTTATCTGGAGCTGGATGTTTACGGATAATAAAATAATAAAAACAGCAAGAGTAGCTGTTCTTTAAGAGTGTCTGCTGTGTGCCAGGCACTTCTTCAATATCATATTTAACCTTTAAACTGCCCTGTGAAGTAGGCAGCATGATTTTACACATGTTGCATAAGTGAAAAAAATCAGGTCCAGGAGAGGTTAAGTTCTTGTTCCAAAGTTGCCCAGCTGGGAAATGCCCACAGAGATTCAGATCAAGCCAGCTTCCCTCCAGGGCCAGCACCTTCCCCCTGCTCTCCTACCTTCTCCAGTCATGAGGAAATGGGTGGCGGCTTTCCTAGCCAGGGATAGAAATGGAGCTTGATCCAGCTGTCTCTCCAGCTATGTAGCCTTGATCCACTCCTGGTCCCATCTGTGGAACAGGGGAGGAGTTTGGTGGGCCTTGCCCTTCTATGAGTGATTTGGGCTTGTGCTAGTGATACCTCAAGGAGTAACTGATAAAATGTGGCCAAGTAGGGTGTGATGCTACGCAGTACATACGTCCACGGCATCCTTGAAGCATTAGTGCAAAACATGGACCACATCATACTGGCCGTGCGGTGAGCATTCTACTTCTGGTAGCGTTTCATTGTTGATTCATCTCATCTGTTAGAGTCCCATGTTGCCTCCCTAATGTACGGACTGGAGATGGGTCCCTTGCCACCTAACCTGACCTAACCTAACCTAACCTAACAGTGCTTTCTTGAGAAAATGCATCTCAAGTTAGAAACAGTTGATTTACTGATGAACCCTACAAATGAACCAGAAATTGCCTTGAGAGAACAGCATTGAAATGAGGACCCTGTGGTTCAGCTGCTTCTCAAGTAATCATGGCCTCCCCAAATGATTCAAATGTAAACTTTCTGGGGGGTACTAGGTAAAGATAAATAGAATAGCCTGTTCTTAAGAATTCCTCACTAAAGCTCAGCTTGGAAAATGTTTCTCACGGCACACCCCAAACTGGTCCATTTCTAGCTTTCAGCTCTCTGACCACCTGATTCCCCACTCCTCCCCCAAGGAAAGGCAGCATTGAAAGTGTTTGGAAATGCAGTTCACTTGGAGGCCGCTGCTGTGCTGATGAGTAATAGAGTGTCAAAGGAAGGCCAAGGAAGAGCTTCCTAATATAGACGGACGGACGGATGGGGATGGAGACCCACCCGGAGGGCGATAACAAGCCTTTTCTTCTAGCTTCCTCCCTGGGAGTGAAGGGAGTTTGAAAGGCAGGAGGCAAGGACGGCTCTGAGCAGAATTCAGGTTTTTCTTGGAAGGGTTTGCCAGGGCTTGCTGCTGCTGGGTGATTGGGATGTGGGAGAGATGAAGCCCCTTTCAGCCGGTGCCTCGGTCCTTACTCACTGTTCAGTGAAGACACCTAGGCTTGGAAGGGCCCTGTGAGCCCCTTACTTTAGAATGGGCAATGCTGCTGAGAAACAGAAGTCCTGGAAACGAAGCCGTCTGTGCCCCTGGAAGCAAGGTAAGCAGGCCCTGGGCTTCGTCTCCTGAAGGAAGGAGGGAGATTTGCACTGGGATATTTTGGCTCAGAACCAAAGCTAGAACTGCTCGGGAAACACCTTCCACACCAGAAAGCTCTGCAGGTCAGCATAGTTTAAAGAAAATGAACAGACAGCTCTCCCAAGGAATAAAATGATTCGTATCTCAATGTGATATCACAGCTTGGCTGAGAATGAAGTTCGGCTTGAGGTTTGTGTTCAGTGCAGCATGTGTCCATTGATTGAACATTTAAAGCTTTAAAAAATATCCCAAATAAAAATTTTGATATCCAGGGGCGCCTGGGTAGCTCAGTTGTTGAGCTTCTGCCTTCGGCTCAGGTCATGATCCAGGGTCCTGGGATCGAGCCCTGCATCGGGCTCCCTGTTCTGCGGGAAGCCTGCTCCCTCTCCCGCTCTCCCTACTTGTGTTCCCTCTCTCACTGTGTCTCTCTCTGTCAAATTAAAAAAAAAAAAAAAAATTAAAAAAATTGATATCCAGGAGTTTGAATCTTTTGTAACAGTTTGGTGAGAGAATGTTATTAATAGCTTTTAAATATATAGCATCTTTCTTCCAAAGAATTCAGAGTGTTTTCTGTAAGAAATCTCACGTTTACCCATCCTAGACGCCCCTGGTGCCGGCCAGCATCCATCGACATCCACTCTGTGTCTCTTCGGGCTTGTGTTAGTGTCAGCTCTGGGCAGGAGGAAGCCAGTGAGACCACAGGTACTGCCGTGGTACGCTTGAAACTGGGGGCCCATGTAACCGTGTCCCAGGGCAATTTGGCCTTCCAGCCGCACCCGGCTGCCTTTTTCACTGTCATTAACCCCGCAGGCCAGCCCTTGGCCTTCCGGACTCCCCATCTTGGCTCTTAGACCTCCACTTGCCACCTGTAAAAGCAGAGCCAGCACTTGACCGGCAGCAACACAGTTTGATTGCAACTGTACATACGGGTGTGTGTTTACGCAGAAAATATAACCTGGAAGAGAACATACGGAAGTGTTAACAGCAGTTGTCTTTTTGTGGTCCGGTTATGGGTAGTTTATTTTTCTTTTTAAAAGGGAAAAGTAGGTAGGCTGCTAATTTCATGTCAAGTTCCTGCGCCTCTGACTTTCCATCAGTCATTCTTTGTCTCCCATGTTACCGTGAGACAAGTATTCCCCAGCGGTCTTTGGGTCCTGGTTTGAACAAAACAGTGATAAAGTCATTTGGGGGACTGTTCTGGAAATTTGATATGAACTGGGTAGTAGATGATATCTGGGGACTGTTGCTAATTTTATTATGTCTGATAGTGGTAATGAGTCATGCAGGAGAATATCCTTCTTCGGATAGTCATGCTGAAGTATTTAGGGGGAAGGGTTATACTGTTTGTAATTTTACTTCAAAATGGTTCAGGTGAATGAGTGTGTGCATACATACATACATACAGAGAAGCAAAATAGGATAAGTTTAACACATGTTAGATTCCAGGTAATGGATCTGTGAGGTCTGTTATACTTTCTTTAATGTATTTTTACTAATGGCGGGGACCCATTAAAAAAATGGTTGCTGGTTGCATCGTAGTACTGTATCCTTCAGAAGAATGAATCTTAGCAGACATGGTTATTTACGGAGGTGGGTCAGGATCCAGCACTCGTACTCAGTGCCACGTGGGCTGGTATCTCTAGCCACCAATAAGAAGATCGTCATAAAAATCTGGTAACTCAGAAGCACCACTTATTATAACAGGAATTTAATATATTTACTTTCAGATAGTCTCTGGTTTTCCATAGAAAAATGTATGAGTTAAAACTTCTTGAAATTTCCACTGGAAGCCGCTGAGTTTACAGAAAAAATTAAAGCCAGCCTCTGTGTTTTATTCTGCAGTTTGTGCATTTGTGTTCAGTAGTTGCAGCAGAGGAGTTGTGGGAGCACGGTGAGTGACAGCAGGCATTGCAGGGTCCACAGTAAGTTGGGGTAAAAGAAGGAGCAGCTCCCTGCCCTGATTTCTAAGTCTGCATGGATCCCGTTGACCAGGAGTATGTCTTGGCCAGTGTCAGGATCTGTTCGTTTGTTTGTTTGTTTGTTTGTGCAGATTAGACCCTGGGATAGCAGTTTGTCTCCCTAATCCAGAGTCCCGTGAAGCCCTGCCAAGGACTCAAAGTAGCAAGGGTGTGCAGTGGTCTTTCATAGTTGTCTCTGTCTTTAAGGGTTGTTGATGTTTTGGAAATAGGATTTTAGAGCAGTATTTAGGAACCAGATTTAGTGAACCCCAGACACCACTGTGAGTGACCCTGATCTGAGTACATTTTCCATAGTCCACACTCAACATGACTGTGAAATCTCAGCGTGTGACTGATGACTCCAGGCTCCAAGGCAAAACAACATGGTGTCAGTGTCTGCTTTTGGGGCAAGTGAACAGGAAACACATCTTTGTGTGCATTTGGTATGAACAGCCCAGGCTGCCCCTGACTTCTCCATCCTGTCTGTTGCCCTGTAGTGGCAGGGGCTCCTGGGAATACAGACTTTAACCAGAGTCAGATATTTGTGATTAGGAAGGTCAAGCCCAGAATACATTCCGAAAGGAAATTTAAAGGAAATCGTTATCTGCGCTTTAGGTCATTTACATTTCTGTTTCCAGGTTGTGCGCCTGGAAAGTTGAAAAATTAAAGTGACAGAATACTAGTTAAAAAACGTAAATCGTACCACCTCTGCCGGCCGTCCCCCTAAGGAGCATTTTATACCTGGCAGAGAAATGTCTCTGTAATGATTTTAAACAGTGTGCAGTGTGCACCCTTTGAGGGGACTCACATTATGCTCTTTCTTATTCTTGTTTTTCTCATAGCTCTCAGAACCCAAAACATAAGGAGAAAGCAGTACTGCTCTTTTTGGTTTTACAGTACCGGGTGCTTGCAGTGGTTGATAGATGTGAGTCATCTGTAATAGCAGAGTGAGTTCTAGCAGGCCCCCATGCCAAAAAAGAAAGGAAGAAAGAAAGAAAGAAAAGAACGGGAGGTAGGAGAAGGCAGTGGCTTCCAGTGTGATCCTGGGAGTCCAGCCAGCCAGAGCTCTGCCCCACACTTGCCGTCAGACCTTGAACACTTGGGTTTTGTAATCCCAGATCACCTCATTCCCTCACTGCGCCCACCTCCCACGGCTTTTCCAAATGACTGTGTTTTCCTGTGTGATTTCCTTATAGCCCTCACCGCAGGTATTTTTTTATTGATCTGTTTATATACTACCTGATTGTAAACCGCCTGAGGGCTGTCTGTCATGATCGTTGCTTGTTACCTGGTGCCCTTCGTGAGTGCCCTCGGTGACAAAACATGCTCCCTGGCTGTCTGTGTTACCACGGGTATAAATGAGGTACGAACGGGGGAGCCTGGTTCCTGGTGTGTAGTAGGTGCTCAGTAAATGCTAGCTACCAGTGCTGGCAGGTGTATGGTGGTTACGTGGACCTGGAAATGTTCATTCTTTGTCTTTCTCGGCTCAAAGAGGAGACACGGGGGTTGAAAATAGGTACATCTTCCTCTATTCCACAGCAATTCTGAATTTACAAAGAGTGAACCTATTGATGATTGTTTGCATTTGCAAAAGATTGCTTCACAAAAAGCACTTAAATCATAGTGAACGTTTAGTTGCTGATTCATTGAACCAGACACCTGGTGAAACCTTCCATTTAGAGCTAAATTGAACTCTGAAGTACACCTATAATCCTGCCCTCTCAGAAGACTTGTTCATTGGTTCTTCTTGAGAATTAATTTGAAGGGTTGCTTACAATGGTCGTTTTGGGCTCTTGGGAGTATAACACAGGCAGAAGTTTCCTGGGGAATTAAAAATTGCATCAGTAATTGCAAATTGAATTGTTATCTCCTTCAGAAATCCCAGCAGCTTGGGGCCATACAAGCCTGGTAAATGGAAATGTTGATGATTTACATGTTTGTACACAGTTGGGCGTGAGCGAATGAAATTAACACCCTCAGTGGAAGAGCTGGGAGGAAAAGTGTCTTTCCCCAGGGCTGACTGGGGGCTGACTGGGGGGAAGGAGATTGGCTGGCTGGGGTGGGGGTGGGGGTAGGGAGTCCGGATTTTCATGAATTCCTCTCGTTCCCTGGTCCCTCTGCTGGGGCAAAGACAGCATAGTTTGGATTCCAGTCAGCAGTGGTGTTGAGACTTGCCACTGCAAGCTAGGTAGTGAAGAAGCATCCAGGGCCTCTGGACGCCTGCGTGCCAGGTAATTAATACTGATGGCTTTTCTGGCCAAAGCTGAGGCCGGCCCACCTCCCACCATCCATTTTCTGGCCTTTTTTCCATTGCTTTGGGGCCACAGTGGTGTCTGGTGTCGGCCTCTCAGCCAGTACACCAGAAAGCGCAACAGCTGGGTGCTGCCCTCGGGCCACCCAGCTCAGTGCCTTCTAGCTGAGTGAGGCGGGCCACATGACTTCACGTTTCCAAGCCTGTTTCCTGGTCTCTAAGTGAGATTATTAACAAGAACGTCTGCCTCGAAGGGCTGTTGAGAGAATTAGATGAGATAATACGGCCCTTAGTGGACAGCAAGCACTTAATGAATGATAGTAATTCTTGTTACTATACGTCCACGAATGTGGATCATGGGCCTGGCTCTGTTCCAGCCCCAACTAACCGTGTGAGTTTGCCTAATTCTGCCTGTTTCCTTCTCTCAGTGTAAGAGATCACACGTCAGCTGATCGCAGAGGTGCTTGTGAGGTCTGAGTCAGTGACCATCTGCACTGGCCACTGCCATTCCTGTCTGTAAGCTCTCTAGGGGTTCAGTGTCTGGAGTAGGCATCAGTTATGCCAAGCACCGTGGGCACAGGGGGGATTTTTATGGCGTTGAAGTTCTTTGAAAATGGTTATTGCAGGACCCACCGTAATCGAACTATTCCTACTTAACTAGGGTATTAAACTAATCAGGACTGTCCATTTTCCTGTTCTGAGTACTGTGATGTTGAAATGTTTTTTTCATAATGACATTGTGATTAAGAGCAT